TGGTGTTGCTAATCAGGGTATAGGGGCAGGTATGGTGAATGGATGATCATTAGTCTTTAGGTATGGTTTTTGTAGTTTAGACTGATTGGTTCCCAGTTTGGAGAAGTATGGGGATGGAGTTGGTTTGTTATTGTAGTTGAGCATTTTCAAGTGATTGGATTGTTTACTTGCATCGTTGGGTTCCGAATGGTCTCTCAAGTTTTCTTTATGGATGCCTCGATTTTATGAGGTGATTGGAGAAAGCGTATGGAATGTGTTGGAGTTGTTTTTTCATAAATTCTAACCAAGACGGATTTCGAGGACGCAATCCAATTTAAGTGGGGGAGAATTGTAACATCCAGTTTCAGGACGTTTCTTATTTTGAAATTTTGGGTTGTAATGTGGTCAAGTAAAGGTCTTCGGCTTCAAAGTAATAGAGTTTATACCCTATTAGAGATTGATAATGTTGGTTAAGTGATTAAAGTCCTCGAATTGTGCTGTGAAGCAAAGGGTAAAATGGGAAAGATGATATTTCTGGATTCTTGCATGAATTAATGATTTTAGTTTTGTATGTTTTTAGTTAAAAGTAATTAGATAGAATTCTGGGGCTTGTCAATACCTTCACATGCATATAAAGATCGCCGAAAACGGGAGTTGACGAATAATTTATGACTGTTTGAAGCTGGAATGGATTTGGGTGAAAACCCGTCTTCACGGGGTGGAGAGTAGGTTTCCACATCGTGGTAATCACCATGAAACAGAAAATTATTTTCCATGGAGCGGAAGCTAGGCAGGCCCAAGCCCATGATTTTTTAGGGCTTTCAACGTATTTAAAGGTAAGGATTCATGATTTAGGGCATTTTCTCAGCCTCCATCACATCTAGAACTCCTTAAGAGCAACCCTAGCCTCCCTCTTCTTGATTTGAGCTTATTTTCTCTCTTTGAACCTCCTTTGGATGCTTTTGGTGGTGTTTTGATGAAGCTTGAAGATCAAGATTGTTCTTTTGGCTGTAAGGAAGGTTGTTTCAAGTTTGGATCTATCAAAGTCACTATGTTTCTAGACTATTGTGAGTATAAAGTTTATATCTTGCTCTTTAGTTCTTTAGATCTCTTCATTTGTGTTTTTTGGCACTCTTGGTCCATTTTATGGGTGATTTTGGAGTAGAGTGAACTCCAACATCTTTTGATCAGTTTGGAATGCTTCTTGGACCTCATGGATTAGAAAAGTTATGATCTTTTGCCTTCTTTTTAATCCATGTAACTTATCTTGGTCCTTTAGGTCATTTTGATATATTAAAGTTTAGACCTTGAAAGTTTGTGGCATCATTATGGATAAAGTTGGAAACTTTATCAATCTAAACATCATGTTGATTCAGATATGAGGGTTGGAGACTTGGAGTTAATGGATTAAGTGAGAAAGATGCATTCTTGGTCCCTTTGAGACTTAAAGTTTAGATTCTTGGTTGTTTAGACGATCCTAATGGATAAAGTTAAATACTTTATCCATTATGAAGCAAATAGGTACCAGATCTGAAAAGTTGGAAGCTTGGGCTTAACGGTTAAGTGCTTAACCTATTAAGATGTTGGGACCAGTTCCCACGAAGTTTCATGTTTCTCGCCACGACGTGGAGGCTGGTGTCACTACGACTGTTTTGTCATGTAGCTGCCACGTTGTGGCCTATGGGTGTCCACGACATGGAGGTCAGCTAGGGTTGACTTTGACCGTTGACTTTGACATTTTTGGCTAGTTTGACTTTTGGTCAAACTTGGAAAGGTGTTGAGCTATAATATGAGGTTTAGCTTGTGATTGATTTAGGAGGTTTATGTAGCTGATTCTGTGGGACTTTTAGAAGTGTATTTCAGCTCTTAGTTTAGGTGAGTCTTCTCACTGTATTACCTATATCATATTATGTGCATGCTAGAACAGTTGGGTCTTATTTGCTTATTGTTGTTATATGTGTATCCAAGTTGTTGATAACTCCAGGAATGCTAATAGTTTGCAGGGTTGTTGATAACCCATAGGACTGTTGTAAGCGCATAGGACTGTTGATAGTCCCAGGTTTATTGATAACCCATAGTTGTTTATATTGTTGTATTGTATGTGATATTTAGGACTGCTAATAGTCCTTAGGACTGTTGATAGTTCTAGGGTTGCTGATAACTCATAACTGATTATTACATGTGATGTATGTGATATTTTGGGGAACTCACTAAGCTTTGTGCTTACAGTTGTGGATTAAATGTTTTTCAGGTACTTATCAGATTGTGAAGGCGGGATTATACACACACATCAACAATTTTATGAGTTTATATTCCGCATTGTCATCCTTATTACTCTTATTTTGAATTATGGTTTATGAACAAATGGCTTGACTTGAATGTAACTTTATAAAAATGGGTGTTTATTCTATTTTAAAAATAAAAAATTTATTCTGGAATTTGGGACATTACAGTTTAGGTCGTACTGGTGATTGAACATACATGTCTTCTAAAAAAAAGTAGAAGAAAGATGAGGTCTTTATTCATAGAGCATGGAGAAAGTTTAGAATTCATACATGAGGAAATAGAAGTAGACATTGTTGATGGATATATATGTTGCTGATAATATTTGATAATGGATGATTATGATTATATATATATATATATATATATATATATATATATATATATATATATATTGAAACTGAATGTGAGTGTTCTGTTTGACTATAGTTGACGATTCTAGATTATGTCTGAAACTGAATATATCAATTGTGGAAGTTGTTTCAGCATAACTGTCTTTTTTAGACTTGTCATCTTATATCTTAATGCTAGATTATGATGTTGTTGCAGTCTGTATATCCTCTATAGACTAATCAGCTTGAACTTTAGTTTCAGCTTTAGAGGTTAGTTAGCTTGAGAGTCTTAATTATCATTGGGTGTCTAATGATTAACGAATATAATATGTATGCGAGTGTAAGTAACATCATTGCCAAAATAAGGGTTTTAAATCCACCACTACATTTCACTTTTGATATTTGGATCATTTGGTAGAGGTTCTTTCTAAAAATGGTTGCATCAACAATATGATAACCAATATTCGTACCTCATAAAGAGACATAAACACTGGTTCTAAGACGATGTTTTAATGCCAATTATAGAAATATAATGTATGGTACATGAGTTAGTCGATTCTTGGATGTTGCATCTATGGTTATTAGATCAAAAAACATCTTAGCATAGTCAAGATTTAGAGTTCTGGTCATTCAGTACAAAATCTATAACTTGATCAATTTAGTTGATCAAAACTCCTTTTATTGGAGCTTTGGAATTTGGAGATAATTGCAGTAGGATACTTCAGATCATTTTTTACTTTTACAATTGTAAGAATTTATCCATGATCAAAATCTCGATCTTGACAACCGTCATTTTTATAATCATATTACACATTGAAATTTGAACTTACAAATGATTTGTTCACCAATAATAATTATACTTATTAAATCATGTTTGATAATTGATCTCCAAGTAAGAGTATAATACATGTTTTTGAAAGATGATAGTATGGGATAGCTGATTAATCATAATCATTTAATTTGAATATCCTACATGTTAATAATAAATTACAATTTTATGAAAAGTTGTAAATATAAAAAGTAAATATTAATCATTATTTAATTTGAATGGATGTACAATTTTACATGTTAATAATATATTACATCACCAATATTATGATTTGCCTCGTGAATGATTCCCATCGGCTCCCCTCCCGAATACCCATCAGACCCCCCCCACCCCCCCGCCGCCGGCGCCCATGCACACCACCATAGGAACCAGATCGGCAGTGGATTCTGGCACTGGCGTTTTTTTTCTGTGATTCTCGATTTTTACTTTGTAATATTTCCCTTCTCCAGGTTCATCGTCTTCACCTCCTAACCAGGTATCCGACACTCCATCCACTCCGTCCTCTTCATTGTCTGATACATCGACCTCGTTAAACGGAAGAGGTTTGAACGGAGACCAGTCGTCGGTGTATTCAAAAACGCCGACCCGATAATTCACCCCATTTACTTGGACAATTATTTCTTCGTTGATCCATTTCCTGTTGAATGTGAGCACCCCTACCTTCCCCATTGAGTAATCACGTCTGGTGGAGATGTTGTCAAATGTGGTAATCACCTTCCCAAATCTACTTGCAATTTTAGAGAAATTGTTTTCATCCCATAGCGGTAAAGGCACGCCAAGAATTTTAAGCCATGCAGTTCTTTCATAGGTCAATACTTGTTCATCTGCGCGTGTAACCGATTTTAACCAGTCACTCCATCGATTTTTATTTTTAGATACGCATCCGCGTCAATGGAACATCCAAATTGGATGGCTAGTCGAAGCCCCCCCCCCCAGATATTTTGTTTCATCTTTGAAAATATCGTTAGCATGAAGGGTACCAATGTGGTCTAGACTATGAGCTTCACCAATTAATAGCCACTTATTCATCCATCCTTTCATGTGTGTGTTGGTGTTGAGAGTTATGGGCGGATTAATTATCATGTCCTTCGACCCACCGATGACCTGAGCATGAGTCTTGTCTTCATTCACACCGGTGATGTGGGGAGAAAAGTCGTGGTATGTACCTGGCTGCACTTGTTTTCTAATCTCCGGCTGTCTTTTAGGCTCACCCTTATGAATATGTGGAGGCTTCCTTGGGTTCTTTGATATGTTTACTTCTAGAGTTTATTTCTATACAATACCCTGTAACTTTTCCTCCAACTCCTTGGCGTCTTTGATGTCACCATTTCGGATAAAGGAAAAGTTTTTCCTATACAGATCTTTCTTGTAGCCAAAATAAATATCCACAACCTTCCCGAATCTACTAAAATCCAAACGGTGAATGGACGGAGATCCGAGCAAAAAACTCCTAGGCCAAAATTCCTGAAATCCACATTAATGAGTCTATCAAAAGTCAACACATTGAATATGTGGCGGTGGAACACCCTAAAACTCCTAGGCCAAAATTCCTTGAGCCTGTAGAAAAGCTAGTCCCTATGGGATGTTTTGGACCCTTCCCTAATATCAATACCCCGTTCTCCTTCACTTCTCCCCAGGCCCAAATTAGTTCTCCTACATGTGGATCTAACCCGAAATCTGGTGGACGAAAACAAAAGAAGAGAAAAAGAAATAAATCGGTGAGTAAATCAGATTTGGAAGGTTCTCAAATAGCTAATTCAAATCTCTCCCCTCTCGTCACAATAGTCCTCCCTCATCCCCCCACTTCGATTATACCTGAGTCTAATTCCACACTGAAACAAAACTTGGTGCCACCATCAGACATGAACTCCAAAGATGTGAGTGTGACTATGCCTAAACCACCTTACCCCCCTCAAAAAACGTCTGAAGCAGAGGAAACGGCTGCTATTGGGGCTGAGATTGGGTTTCATATCGCTGCGACTGACCCAATCCTAGTCGAAAGTGTGGGAGAATCTGGTGAGAACATATGTGATCAATGAATTGCATGTCTCTCAATGTTAGAGGAATTGGTGAGGACGTAAAAGTTAATTGGGTGAAAAGATTAAAAAATAAACATAAAACCAATTTTTTGGGGATACAGGAGACACAACTAGTCGATTGCGAAAAGATAGATGTTCTTGGTTGTTGGGGACCTCATGATTATGATTATGAAGCGGTAAAATCTAGTGGTCGATCTGGTGGCCTATTATCAATGTGGAACACAAACTGTTTTCAGAAGAGAGAAGTGATAAAATCAAGACACTATATTATAGTCATTGGTAGGTGGACTGGAATAGCAGGTGATACAACTCTTGCTAATATATATGGACCACACAACATTAGTGATCAAAGAAGATTATGGAGAGAACTCTTAATGATAAAAAATTCTAACCCATGTAACTGGGTCATGTTCGGTGATTTCAACACAGTTCGAAGATCAGAAGAACGTGTTAACTCATATTTTTGTCCGGTGAGTGCTGCATCATTCAACAAATTTATTCAAGAGGCTGAGTTGCAAGACTTTAGGATGGGAGGTGAGATATATACATATATGTCCATAGTGGGGGCGAAATTAAGCAAACTAGATAGATTTTTGGCATGTTCAAACTTCCTCTCATGCTTCCCTTCGTTAATGGTTACTGCTCACCCACGTGAAATATCAGATCATTGCCCCGTCATCCTAAACTCTCCATCTGATGACTATGGACCACCTCCATTCAAACTATTAATTATTGGATATTAAAAGACGGTTTTGAAAATACTGTGAAGGAAGCATGGGGGAAATTTTATGGTTATGGCAACCCAGATGGCCTACTTGCTGCCAAATTCAAATTCTTAAAGGAAGAGATCAAGGCATGGAAACGTAATACGGAGAAGGAAGAAAATCAAAGAAATACAAAGAATCAAAGCAGAGGTGACACTAATTGAAAAAGCAGCGGAATCTAGGCATCTAACTAATGATGAACTTGACACCAGAAGTCGTGGACTTCATAAAATATTAGAAATAGAAAAAAATTGCGGTGTTAGATTCAAAACAAAAATCCAGGGTGAAGTGGAACATTGAAGGAGACGAAAAATCGAAATATTTCCAATGGATTTATTAACAACAAGAACAAAAGAAATAGAATTAATGGACTGATGGTGAATGGGAGATGGACGACCAGGGTGCAGGAGGTCAAACACGAAACATACAATTTTTTCAAAAACAAATTTTTAGAGAACATGCATATCAGACCCAAATTCACAAGCCCATATTTTAAGAAGTTAACCATGATGGAGGCCATAAAACTCGAAGCACCATTCAGTTTTGAGGAAGTTAAAGCTGTAATATGGGCCTGTGGGAGTGAAAAGGCTCCTGGACCTGACGGGTTCACTTTTAAGTTTATCAAAACTTACTGGGACACCCTCAAAGATGATGTGATGAATTTTGTTCTACACTTTGACAAGTTTGGAACTCTTAAGAGAGGGTGCAACTCCTCTATCATTACATTAGCCCCAAAGGTGAAAGACCCGATATCCCTAGCAAATTACTGGCCTATTAGCTTGATCGGTAGTATGTACAAAATAATTTCTAAGCTTCTGGCAAATAGGCTTAAAACTGTCATTGGTGGGCTGATTGGAGATGCCCAATCGGCGTACGTAAAGGGAAGAAGTATTCTAGATGGACCTCTTGTGATCAACGAACTATACTCGTGGGCAAGGAAAATTGAAAAGAGGGTTCTAATGTTCAAAGTCGATTTCGAGAAGGCGTTTGATTCTATAATCTGGGAGTATCTAGATTCTATATTTGAGCAGATGAGGTTTGGTAGTAAATGGAGGCAATGGATTCGTGGCTGCTTGAATTCTTCCCGAGCCTCGGTGATAGTCAACGGATCACCAACAGATGAATTCAAAATCTCAAAAGGTGTACGACAGGGTGATCCACTCTCCCCATTTATGTTCATCATAGCAATGGAAGGTTTGAATGTTGCTTTGGAGGCTGTGCGAGATAAAGGAATTTTTAAAGGAATCCAAACTCCTAGCGGGCCTATATTAACACATCTTTTTTATGCAGATGATGCACTATTTTCGGGTGAATGGTCATGTAGTAATCTAAAAAATCTAGCCAGAATTCTGAATTGCTTCAACATTACTTCGGGCCTTAAATTCAACCTCAACAAATCAAGAGTTTTCGGAATTGGTGCTTCTAGTAGAGAAATAGTGAATTGGGCCAACATCTTTGGATGTGCAGCAGGTAGCTTCCCCTTTAATTACCTTGGGGTTCAGGTCGGTGCAAACATGAACCTCACAAAAAATTGGAAACCAATCCTTGATAAATTTGCATCTAAACTATCCTCATGGAAATCGAAGGCATTATCATTTGGAGGTAGGTTGACACTAATCTCTTCTGTCTTGGGGAATCTGCCTACATACTACTTCTCTCTGTTTAAGGCACCAATGGAGATAACGAAAGCACTAGAAAAAATCAGGAGAAGATTTTTAATGGGAGGTGACGATAACAAAAGAAAAATCCATTGGGTTTCATGGAACAAAGTGATCGCCCCAAAAGTTGATGGTGGTTTGGGTGTTGGTTCAATCTGGTCCCTAAACATAGGTCTAATTGTGAAGTGGTGGTGGCGCCTAAAAGCTGAGAAGGACTCATTGTGGGGTAGAACGATTAGGGGCATTCATAATCTCAATCATAAGCCTCACGACTATTTAGCAAACAGAAACATATGTGGTGTCTGGAACAATATAGCCTTTGTTAGGAAAGAGTTAAAAAAGAATGGTCTTGAAGTGGAGGATATCTTCAAATTGCACATTAAATCTGGCGAAAACTCACAGTTTTGGTTTGACAAATGGATAGGACCTCAGATCCTAAGTGTAAAATATCCGCATCTTTACGATCTTGAAGATAGAAAACGGTGCTCAGTTTCTGATAGACTCTTGAATCGGGAATTTGTTGGCCATTGGAAAACTCAGGTGGTAGACCATGGGATTAATCAAAGCATAGTCAACTTACAAGCTGAGATGTCTGTCGTCGTGCTATCACCAGGTGAAGATCAATGGAAATGTATATTATACAATAGTGATACATATTCGGTATGTGTCATGCGTAGGCGGATTGAACAACAAAGAAATTCTTATATTACTCTCCACACTTTCAAATGGAATAAGACCTCTCCGATAAAAGTAAATTGCTTCATAGGGCGTGCGATGCAAATGAGAATCCCATCGGAGGTGGCTTTAAGAGTACGTGGTGTAGGGCCCATTCCAGTTACATGTGGTGCTTGCATTGGTGGGGTGGAATGTGCAAATCATCTTTTACTGAATTGCCCTTACGCTTGTGAAACTAGGTCTAAAATTTTCAACTGGTGCGGAATAACAGATAATTATCTCACTTCGGTTGCTGATTTACTTACATATGTGGAGCAATGGGGTACGTGTCCTAAGAAGCGAAAAAGATTCAGAACAATTTGTCATAGCTTACTATGGAACCTATGGAAATATAGAAATGATCGAATCTTCAATGGTGTCTTTAGAAATCCTACTAGGGGGCAGAAGACATTAAATCGTTGGTGTATTTTTGGATAAAATGCAGGGGGAATGAGGTGATTTGTAAGTGGGAGGACTGGTCCTCCTCTCCATTCAGTGTCGCATAGAGCTGTTTTTACTTCTGTTGGTTTTTTCTTTTTCTTTGTTCCCTTTCTAGACTCTTGCTAGTTTGGTTTTCTTAATAAAATTTGTTGTTCAAAAAAATAATAATAATATATTACAATTTTTTGAGAAGCCGTAAATAATGCACTAATCCGTCATGATATTAACATCATTAAGACGGGGTATAAAAAATGTAGTATGTGTAGTATAAAGTTTATGTGTTAGCTACATACATAAATAAACTATTAATTGCATTACTTATAATAAAATTGGTAATATCAAAATTAGTTATTTCTTTCTTAATTCAGTTGATATCAATGAGATTTTATACATTACCTATAATTTCATAAACAAACTTTAATTTAATGCTAATTAATTATTTGCACAATTTAAATAGGAAAATTTATAAAATAAAATTTATATATTATCCCAACATTATTTGAGAACAAGGATACAAAATTCATTTTGGTTTTTGTAGCGTTCTGATTGTGCTAGTAATTGACCCATGTCACAATCCCTCTCATACGTAGATGCCGTTTGTTTATGTTGTAGGATAATATCATGACATTTTGCAAAAGTGACAGATTCAAAAATCATAAATAAGATATACAATATATTATTAGATAATGAAATGAGATATACATTACAATTTAGTACATAATAATAATAATAATAATTTAAATTGTTTATCTTTCTATTATCAACAGAAGCACGAGTAGAGGGAATTTCTACGTTATAATCTAGTGGTGATATTGTGTATGAAGCGGAGGCATCTACTCCTTCTGAAATGAATTTTACAGTTTAATGGATTTAAAAGAAAAAATAGATTTTAGTCCTGGTTCTCAGGCAAGAAAAATTATTTCAGAAGAATTTTATTCAAATAAATGGACATTTTTTAAAGAATGGTTATTTAAAAATTATTCTAAAGAAGAGTTACAAGAAATACAAAATAGATTTTATAAATATTTATCCTCTATAAATCAAATTATACATTTTATTCCTTGGTTTGCTTATACTTTTTTACATAATATTCACAACATAGAAAGAGATTATACTCTATCGGGAGACAAAATAATAACAAGTATATTTCCACCCCAAGTCCCTTTTACCATTACAAATAACAATGTTACTATAAAATTTTCGGCTTACCAAAAACTTTTTGAAGAAAAGACTCTTACAATAGATGTCAATCATATTAATAGTATGATTCAACAATTAAATTTCCATAATTTATATTCCATAATATTAGGAGAACAGTTAATGGACTTACATAAAAAATTAGAAAATATAAATTCACCCATTAACAATAAAGATATAATAATACAGAAAAAAGATAAAAAAACAACAAATAAATGCTACTATTCAACCCCCACCAAATATTACTGGTTATAAACTTAAAAATTATGATTATATGCTAGATATTCTGCAAGAACAAATGAAAAAATTACAAATTAATACTATAAATAAAGACTCAGATAATGATTCAGATATAGATAAATACTCAAATAAACAAAATTAACAATTATGATAGCAAATTTGCTAGAAAACCTGTTCAAAGATTATATTATTATCCAAGACCGAGCCCCCAAGATGTCCTACATGAGGAACAAGAATATGAAATTAATAATAGTTATAGTGGTAAAAATGTTTACGAATGGAATTTAGATGGTTATACTGAAAGACAAATATATAATATGATTCATAGAATGTTAATGTATAGTACAATTGCTAAAAATACAGGAAATAGTGATAAACAAGTGGCTAATATGTTAATTGCCGGATTTACTGGCCAATTAAAAGGCTGGTGGGACAATTATGTGGATGAAAAAACACAAACAAGCTATTCTTAATACAGTTAAAATAGAAATGGAATAACCACTCCTAATGTAGTTTATACTCTAACTTGTACCATAATAGAACATTTTACAGGAAGATGGTCAGATAATTCTGAAAATATTCGTACTCTATTAAATGGACTATTTTGTAAAACTCTTACATCTTTTCGATGGTATAAGGATACTTTCTTAAGTAGAGTAATGGAACTTAATGATTGTAATAGTGTTTACTGGAAATCCAAGTTCATAGATGGTTTACCAAATCTTTTTGCTGAAAGAGTTAAAAACCAGCTAAGAATAGATAATACAATTCCTTATGAAGATTATACGTATGGAAAATTGATAGGAACTTGTATACAGGAAGGTTTAGCCTTATGTAGTGAAATAAAACTAAATTACCAAATTAAAACCCAACATCTTAATGAAAAAAGACAATTGGGAGAATTTTGTGATCAATTCGGAATACAAACTAATAACAATAGGAGGAAACAGAAAAAAGAGTTTCAACAGAAGAAAAAATATTATAAGAGAAAACATAGTGATCCTAATAAAAAAGATAAACATATTAAAAAATTAAATTTTTAACAAATCAATTCTCTTTGAAAATATGTAATGATCATCCTAATGCTTTTTGGGAAAGGAAAAAACATATAGTTACACTTCCTTATGAGGAAGACTTCAATGAAAAACAGATTCCTACCAAGGCAAGACCTTGTCAAATGAATTTCGAATACTTAAATATATGTAAAAAAGAAATAACTTCCTTATTAGATAAAAAACTAATACAACCTTCCAAATCTCCATGGTCATGCACTGCCTTTTATGTAAATAAACATTCTGAACAAGAAAGGGGAATACCAAGACTAGTTATAAACTATAAACCCCTTAATAAAGTCTTAAAATGGATCAGGTATCCTATTCCTAATAAAAAGGATTTATTAGACCGATTACATGATTCTTTAATATTTTCAAAATTTGATTTAAAATCAGGATATTGGCAAATACAGATTGATAAGAAAGACAGATATAAAACTGCCTTCAATGTTCCTTTTGGACAATATGAATGGAATGTTATGCCATTTGGCCTAAAAAATGCCCCTTCAGAATTCCAAAATATAATGAATGATATATTTAATCCTTACAGCAATTTCATTATTGTATATATAGATGATATCTTAGTCTTTTCGAAGGACATTCAAGAACATTTTGGTCATTTGCATACTTTTGAAAAAATAATAGTAAACAATGGTTTAGTAATATCACAATCTAAAATGTCCTTATTCCAAACAAAGGTAAGATTTTTAGGACATAATATTGAAAAAGGACAAATTATTCCTATACAAAGAAGTATAGACTTTGCTGCGAAATTTCCAGATGAAATAAAGGATAAAACTCAGCTACAAAGATTCTTAGGTAGCCTAAATTATATATCGCCTTTTTATAAGGATTTATCAGCAGATAGTGCAATTTTATACGACAGATTAAAAAAGAATCCTTGTGCTTGGACTAATGATCATACTCAGGCAGTTAAAAGAATAAAAGACAAAGTTAAAAGTCTACCATGTTTATCTTTAGCTAATCCTAATTGGGAAAAAATAGTAGAAACAGATGCCTCTGAAATAGGGTTTGGAGGGATTTTAAAACAAATCCACCCTAACAGTAAGCAAGAATTCTTAGTCAGATTTCATTCTAGAAAATGGACTCCTAGTCAGAAAAATTATTCTACTACTGCTAAAGAAATTTTGGCACTGGTAAAATGTATTCTCAAATTTCAAGATGATTTATATAATCAACATTTTATTATCAAAACAGATTGTCAGGCAGCTAAATTCATGTTTAATAAAGACTTTAAACATGATGTTTCTAAACAAATGTTTACTAGGTGGCAAGCTACATTAGCATGTTTTGATTTTGAAATACAATATAAAAAAGGAAGTGATAATAGTCTTCCCGATTTTTTAACTAGAGAATTCCTAAATGAGTTATCACCAGCTAAGACAGTTATCACATGATATTACTAATATAAAAAATTTAATTAATAAGGCAGAGGTTGAACTGGCCAACTTAGCAAATGAACCATATTCTAGTAGGACAGGAATTAATTTAAGATTGATAGGATTAAGGATCCAACTCAAGAATCTTGAAAACAAACTCATATTACTTTTAAATTAACATTTCCATTTGCAGGATGAATCCCAATCGCAGAAGAGGCCATCCTTCATATAGAGGTGGTTATCATAGAGGTCGGGGAAATCCTACGGCTTCAAGCAGTTCTTATAGAACTGGAAATTCATCACAAACAAATGATCAATCTCTTCCAGTTCCTGGAAGCCCATTATATGAGGAGTTTAAAGCATTTTTGGAATCAAAAAGGGAAAATACTCCCACTCTCGCTCAAATGATCACAGATGGTGAAACCATCAACGATAATTTTGAATATAAGGAATCACCTCATAGAGATAATATTATTATTTTGGAACATAAAGATATAATGCTTTATTTTGAGAATAATGACGATCCATGGTTTTTAATGACCAGATACTTGGATACAGCGACATACGCTGGATATTCTTACAAACAAAGATTATATTATGAAAATATTTTGAAAATAACCGGATCAGTTGAATTTTCTCATTTTACATCCGGAGGTAATACCAGTGTTTACAATTTTAGTAAAGCCATTATCAAAAAGATCATATCACCTGAGGAATGGGGTTTAAGTACCCTCAAGGAAAAAGAATTTTTAATCCCTCCTTCAAAAATACCAATGAAATTTACATATTGGGATTATATTGAAAGCTTTCATAAAGCCTTTTTATATGAAAATCCTCAGAAAAAGCATACTTGGTTTTTTAAAGTATGTGAAAAGGTTTATAATCAAAACAGAGATATACCAAATTGGTTTACTAATTGGTGGATCTCATACGGCCCGAGTATAGATATCCTCCCTGAGGAACCATTCAGGAAATTATATGGGGAATGGTTACCTGTCTCTCCAAGATACCGAGACCAAGTTATACCCTTGAAATCAGAAGGATTGGAAGTAATATCTTCTATGCATTTTTTCATGGAATTTTCTATTCCTTGGATCTGGAAATGGTC